GCGCTGTGACGTATGCGGCCGACAAATTCGACCTTCGGAGGACCCGTCCTGCCGTTTTGGACACAGCCATTGTTGATGTTTGTCGCAGGATGATGACATCATCCTGGTTATCTGACACTAACTTCTGCTTTTCATAAAATGTTCTTGAAAGGTTTGTGAACCTGCTATAGGCTTTACTATTTATATCATCTGAATTGTTCTTAAAGCAGAATACAGTTAAGCACTTGAGACGCATGAACGTCATATTGAAAAATCATTTTGATGCGTCTTTACATGTTCTTGTTCTTTTGGTCAACTCTAACTCATTTTAAAGAAAATATAATGTAATTCTAATTTGTCTCCTTCAGACCCACGCATGGATGCAAAAAAATCTCACTAACTTTCTGACTTGTTAGCAGAAAAGCAGTAAACAGCAATGTTTTTTTTCTTTCTTTTTTCAGTCAGCAGCTGGAACTAACTCATGCCAAGTCATCCTCATTCCCCAGGCGATCCAAACTACTTAATTTTCAGCGTGAGTACTCTCTAAGTCGTTCACAAGGTGTCCTTTAGCACAAGTGTGGTGATGCATCGAGCGTAACATTTGACATAAACCTAAAATTCTCATTAGATAAACTGAAAGTCAAAAAATGAGCAGAAATTTGTTCTTGGAAATCACGACTTTTTTTCTCTCCACTGTCACTCACTGTATCTTCTATATTCTTGGAAAGGTAAGTATCATTTAATGTTTAGTAAACCCAGTGGATTATTTTTTTCATGAGACTTTTAAGGCAATAAAATTCTGAAACTGACACATTTTAACATTGATGTTAAAGCTTATGTGTTCAATTGACCTAAAAGGACAAGAAGAATTTAAGAGCTGACTGATTTTAGGAAAAAGAAAAATGCATTTCAATAATTAATTTTTATTATTCAAGTGCTAAAATTTTTTAACAAAAAACAGTTCAGTCAGAAAGTTTAATGATGTCAATCTAACATTTAATTACTCATTAACCCTTAAAAGTACATTTATGTGCACTACTGTGGAAATTTATTATTATCTAATACATAGAATAGAATAGAATAGAATAGAATAGAATAGAATAGAATAGAATAGAATGAGCCTTTATTGTCCAACAATTATTGTTTTTAATTGATTTGTTTGGCTTCACAGAAAAGTGTACAAGCTCTCTAAGTTCTCAAACTCACGAAGCTAAACTCATGAAATAAAAATCACAAAACTAAATAAAATAAAATAAAAATAAATAAATATAAATAGTGTACTGGGGGACATATGGCACCCCTGGTAGCTTTGAAGTTAACAAAACACAGTGAAGGTGAATAAGCTTCACTGGTTGCTGTCAAGTGAGTTGAGTGTTCATGAGTAACAGAATCAGAGATGCTTGTCATATTTCATCAGTCCTGCCGTATCAAACACGCTCACCGTGCCGTATGTTCGAACTGCAGAAAATCTGAGGCGACACAGACCTCACACACTGACCCAGGGTGGCTTCGGATTAAAGTGAGGCACTCGATCTGTGCACAGATGCTAAACAGTTTACAAGAAACCCAGTTCAGCTGACTCATATGTAACATTTGGGGAGTTGGTTTTAGAATTTTGAAACCTTCTTTTAGTGTATTCATGTGTATGTGTGCATTTTAGTTTTTGTAATCATTAAATGCTGATCGTTTCATCGGATCTGCGGCCGTATGTCTTGGACACTCGGGTGAAGAGAGGGGCGGAGCTGTCAACTGACCACTACCTGGTGGTGAGTTGGC